CAGGAATGCACATCTGGCCCCCACATGCCAAGTTTTGCTTATGTGAGGTGTTCATAGATTGGTCAGGTTTGCTGGTGAGGCCATTCTGGACAATGCTTTCGCAAAGCCTTTGTGTGAGCAGCCAATATTGATCAATGCTCCAACGAGGCCTAAAATGATTTATGATCCAGGAAGGTATTTAGACACCTAAACTCTCTTTGAAAATGCTGAGATTTTGGTACCTGAGTAGGAGTCAGGCACTTTCCTACCTTTTTTGGTTTAACTGGCTTCCCCTGAAACCCTGAAGGAAATTGAGATCATCTTGCTGTGTTTGGGAAAGTTCCCCTTGGTTATATCTGCATCAGGCAGAAATGACAATAAGAAAAGGGCTGTAAGGACAAAGTGATCTTGTATTGGAGAATGCTGATCAAACCCTGAGAGTGTGATGGCAGTGACAGAGAAACATTATGGGAAAGAGATTTGCAAAAGGCCCCTTGTGCTGATAATGACTAAATTTCCTATTTTTCACATTAGAATTAGTATAAGTCCCATAGAATTAATATTACAGAAGTGGATGTGGAATAAATCAAATACCCCATGTTTGGCCTTTCCAGTATTTTGGAGCCTTAAGGCTCATTATTGGATAAGGAGACATTTAATGATCTGTTTTAGAACACAAACAGGATGAAGAAATAATTCCACACTGGGATTCGAAAATACTTTTTTATGACCGGTTGGGAATATGTATATTAATGCCTCTTTCTTGCGAATTTTCAGTATTTCTGGTCATTGGTCATTTTAATGAGTAGCCCAGCAAGAACCCGTGAGAGGAATTTTGAGACATGAGATATGAAGCTATGAAATCATGACACTTTTTTCCCTGTCTATTTGATCTTCACATCTCTTAGAAAGCCGCCAGCATGGAGAGACAGTGGTCATGTTGTTTTGAGACTTGGGCAGGATGTACGGGGAGGAACACTTATTGTGCGCTCCAGTACAGATGAGCTCACCAGGAGAACGTTCCTATTTCTCTTTTGAGCTTTATATGACTATAGCATTGTCTTCCAGAAAGGCATCCAGTCTTGATTTGGAGACCTTAAGAGATGGAGAATGTATTAGTTAAGAGTTAATTATCCTTATCATCTAACATTTGTGCCTTGTTTCTAATTTGAATAGTCTGGTTTAAACTTTCAGCCATTATTACACCTTCCTCCATTTGATTCAAAAGGCTTTTAGCACCCAGCTTTTTCTCCCCATCAAGGTAGTTACTTGCATGTTATAATCAAGTGACCTCTCAGCCTTCTTTAGGAGAAGCTAAAGGCATTGATCTTTTCCCATCTCATTGTTAAGGTGTTTTTCTAACCCAAGGGCTAGTAATCAGTTTGTTCCTGTGCCCAGTGAGTGCATCAGTCAATCTAGTGCAATGTGCAGGTTGCTTTGTTTGAGGATGATAGATATAAGTGCATATAGAGCTGGTGGTGGAAATAGCTTGATTCTGACAAAGTTCCAGCAGAACTGAAGTGAATTTTGTAATCTACCTAGTTTGCTGCCAGCTTTCCTCCCCAGCTGATGGAGAACTGAAGGCCTGGGAGCCCTCCCCCTCTGCAGCTGCAATGCTTGCAGTTCCTCAGCAGTTCAGCTTTGCAGGGCATTAATGCAGTCTACATCGCGGGCTGATGCTAAGCCAGGCACCACAACGCTCTGCAGATCCCAGTTCCCAAACTTCCTTGCTGTGGTTCCTTAGCAGCACAGTGTCCAGGACCTCCCATGTCCCTGGCTCCTGGGCAGACTGGCTTGGAGCTACTGCTGACAGGGATGGCCATCGTTGTGCACAAAATCAGATCGCGAAATTATGAGATTCGTCCTTCCCTACCTGGCTCAAGCCAGATCCCATCTATGTCACCCCATTGCTTTACTTCCCAAATGTGACTTGTCTAGCGTTCAGGAGACCGTGGCTCAGTTCTCTGCTCCACCACTGATGTCTTGTGTGACTTTGGACAAGCCACTGGGGTCCAGATCCTGCAGGATGTTCAGGTGCCTAACTTCCACTGAATTCAGTAAAGTTAATAGGAGCTATCCCAGCCACCTCAGTTCCTTTTAGGACCTAGGGCTTATTGCCTTTTGTACCTTGTTTCAAATACAGATTACAGAACTTCCTTACCCGCCCCCCCCAGGTATTGTGAGACAAATTTACTGATGACAGTGAGGTTCTCAGTTGTTGCAGTAATGCTGGCCACATAAGTAGGATGGATAAAGGCTGCAGGGGTTTAGGTTGTAGCCGTGTTGGTCTAAGGACATAGGCAGACAAGGTTCCTTGGGTGAATTTGATATCTTTTATTAGACCAACCCAAATAGTTGGAGAATAGTTATTAAGCAAGCTTTCCGGTTCAAAAACCCTTCGTCAGGCTAAGGAAGTTTCAGCAGTTGGTGTGTGCTCTTCCTGGAACTTCCTTAGCCTGACGAAGGGTTTTTGAACCAGAAAGCTTGCTTAATAACTATTCTCCAACTATTTGGGTTGGTCTAATAAAAGATATCAAATTCACCCAAGGAACCTTGTCTGCCTATGGATAAAGGCTAACATTTGAGACCACTTGCACTTAATCCACTAATTGGATCCATTGGCCTAAACAGATTTTGGGAGGTGGATTGACTCCCACTCCTTCATTCACAAGTGCCAATTTTCTGGCAAAAGTGACTGTTGTGGGATGTTTTATAGATAAAAGCTGCTTTGTTCTGTGTATCGCCAAATTTTCAGACACTTTGTAAAATGATTCCACAACAGTATACAACTAAATAAAACAATACACACCCACTCTTCCATGACGACTCAGCCCCAGCTCTAGGATAAAACTATCATCTAAGGGCACTAGAAAGAGCATGTATTGACTTTTTTGCTTTGCTTCTGCTGTGCTTGCACTGTAGCTGCTTGCTCCCTTCTGTCATGTTCTTGTGTGTTTTCCCTGATTGCAACAATTAATTGACTTTGATTGTACAATGGCATCACTAAATTAGGGGAAATAAATGCTGAAGCATGGAGGGTGGAGGGTTTGCTTAAGGCTTAAGCAATGTACTTATTAATAGAGCAGCAACTTGAAGCACATGATATGACCAGTAGGATGATAAGCAATGTTCCCTTTCTCTTACTGTGTGAAAGCAAAAGGATTCTCACTCCTGATACTAACCAGCAGCACCATATCTAGACTCCTGGCAGCCTCATGTGAACTTTTAGTATCGGGCCCCCCCTTACCAGAGATAATGATAATAATAATAATCATTCTTTTCATCATTTTTGGGCCCTCTTTCTGTCCGAGCCCCAGGCAGCTGCCCGGTTAACCCATGCCTGT